TCATTCTTCAAAATATCTTCTTTTATGTTGAGGAGGAAAAGGAAATTCATAGAGGTTTAGAACAATTTGAGGGTAAGTATATGATGACAGTATCTTCATTTTTGGGTGAATATCCTTTTAAGATCTCATCATATAGGCTAAGGATCTCATATAGCCTAACACATGCTTTATCTTTAACTATTAACATTCATTTAAGACACAAATAACTGTGTTTACGAGGATACTCGCAAAGACGGGCATTTTGACACATAACTAGGCCTATGTGTATTTGACCGTTTAAGCACAAGGAGCGAACGTTTAGTCCGTAATACGAGCAAGTGTAGGCTATCAGGTAGAACCCGTTTTAACACACGCATTTACCAGAATGAATTCTGCCCCGCAGCGTAATGTCCATGAACAGTATAAACCATTTGTTTTAAAACCTGCTTAAAACGCCTTAAAATGATAAGCTTAGACTACATCATGACGCGCTTCAATCAACGATTGATATATTTCTACCGGATTATCTCCCAACCCTTAAATGAATATAGTTTGTTCAAACACAAAAACAATATAAATCCAGTTAATAATCAAACTAACCTAAAATCTGTGTGGACGATGACACTGTTTTTATCTGCTCCGTGTGCCCGGTTCACTTGCTGTTCCAGCAACTTCCACTCCATCATCAGCTTTAGTAAAATAACCTGATAGCTGGGGAATTTACGAAGTCATGTTTTTTATGTTGTTTGTGTTTGAAGTTTTCCTTTTTTGAGCCCCTCTCTCTTTTAGAATTGCTGACATTTTTACTTATTGAATGTTGTTCTTTGCGCGACCATTTCCAGATTACTCCAGAACAAAGTGAAGAGAGGTGAATGCAGACATACTGGGCAGCGATCACCTGATAGATACGTGCGCATATCGTTCAAAAGTCAAATATAGAATAAATGCATTTGATTGGTAAACCAAATTCAAACTTTACGTTTCAATCTCAAATGGTAATGCATGGAATTTACAAGAAAGCTCAACTAAATAACAGCGCTAATAAGTGGGGGACGTGGTGGCTTTGGCGATCGGCGCTCCAGTCAATCTACTCCACAGCCAATCACGGGCCCCCTCCTTGCTCGGACCCCGGGGCTTCAGCCCCGCCTAGCCCAATGGTTAAAATGGCCCTGCCGGTTGGACAAGAAGTCTTGTTGACTAGTTATGTTATGTAACCCTTGCCTGTCTAATATGATTCTACTGGGTCCTGACTTCATAGTTTAATGTGCATTTAACCTTTAATTTTGTGGGCATAATAGTCTAAAACATTTTGGACCCACTTCATAATGTGTCCTTATTTACTACTTACATTTAAATTAATAATTTGATACAATGCATGTATTGTGTACGTACATGTTTTTACATTGTACTTATATTTGAAAATACTGTACATTTACAGTTAATTTCTGTAGTTACATCAATATTTACACTGTTGACCCTAACTCTACCCCTTAAACCTAACCATACCACCAAACCTGCCCCTAACCTTAACCATATCCCACCTCAATAGATAAATAATATTAAGTACATAGTATTTAAAGACACCTAATATAAAATGGGACCAACATTTTATCTGTTTTTAAAGACTAACTATAGTGTTATTTAAAAAGAGATACCTCAGCTGACTGCTTCAAAACTAATGTTCTTCTTGATAGTTCATAGCAAGTTGTGGTAAAAGACATTAGTTCCTTGGTGATTTTGTTGTGAAAGTCCAATTTGTAACAGTTAATGAACTGGTCTCGTATTGTTTAAAATTTGTTTACACGTGTTATAAAATAAGACCACATTTGAATACATTTTATTTTTTTGTTGGGTAGAAGAAATCATATGAATGTGACACATGAAAATGCACATGCAATAAGTAATCAAAAGAATGTTAGCAATCTATTTCTGCCATTTTAATTGTTCCAGAAAATACAATCCAATTGTATTTGACATTTGTACAACATATGGGTATTTGATTGGCTGCATATTTGATTTGTCTGGAGAGCAAAATATGATTATGAGAGCTAAATACTAATTATGAAAAAGAGTGACAACAAAAACTAACATTTTGAAGAGATACAACCGAATGACAGTAAATCTGGTTAATTTGTGCTGTACAAATGAAACTACAAGGTTATGGAAAAACATTGTTGAATATTTTCATAATAGTGCATGTGTGTTCCCACAAGTGCTGGAATTCACTAAAGAGGAATGCAGAACTGAAGAATATTCCATTCCATGTTGTTCCAATCCATAATGAAAGGAAGGGGAGGGGACAGATAAGAACTATGCTTGTAGGTTTCTCCATCTCGACAAAGGTTGCCTGCCCATTTAGCATTTTTTTCTATGACGACAGTATGTGTACTGTCTTATACCACACTCTCACTCAGACCACATGCATCTGACTCTTTCTGCCATTAGGGAGGAGAGAGAAAAGCAGATCTCTGAAAAGAAAACTCCCTCAAATGGAAAGCAGACCCATCAAATCATCTGCAGATCGAAAGTTTGGATTTTGCTCAGGTCCTTATTAACCCTTACAAACTCCATACTGGCTCCTCTGAGACTTAAAATGGAATGATGACAGAGAAGTGATTTTTTTTGCACACAACATTCTATAAGCTAATGTAAAAAAAAAAAATCATAATGTAAAACATTAATATCTTCTTGGAGGTGTAATGAGTCACAATCCTGTATTGAAAGGAAGATATCCAACTTTCAGCTATAAATGTGTCAATTTAAATGAAAAGACAGAGTGTGAATCATACATTTAGAGCAATGCTTGTTTGCAAAAAAAATTTCAAGTTATCCATATGTTCATATGTTACATATGCTTCCTTTATATTATATTTGTCAAATATATATAACATATTGTGTTGCATCTTTCCTCTTATAACCCCGTATCTCCTTCTACTAATGCAATAAAGCACCTAGGTACATATTCTTGTATTATTAAAAAACTACATTATTTCCTATGACAAAAATTCTAGCCAATCAAAAAAGGCCAAGCACCACAAAAACTGAGCCTTTCAGTTAGAGAGCCAGGGACGGTAGAAAATGGTGGGATATTATTAAATGTATACCCACTTTAAATTTGTTTTAAAAAGGAAGGCATTTTAAAATCCCTTTAATAATTTTAGAAATAAATTTCCACCTTTTTCAAAGAACATGATGTCCTATGAGAAGAAAAGGAAAGAGAATGAAGAGAGATCAGTCCAAACAAGAATCACTACTATAATACTACATATTTTAACACAACTGTATACTGTTGATATTTTATTAATTGATGTAATTTCATACTATACTGTGCCAAGTCTAATTCATTTCCAAAACAGTTAAAAATATCAGCTCCGAATGAACTTCCAATATTTACAGTTAGACCGCAATGTCCTGTGAATCACCAAAGTCATTTGCTTAATACTCACAATAAGGAGGCAAGCACCTAAAAGTACAGCCTTCATATTAACATCCATGTCCATAGGGAACTGGATACAAAAGTTGGTGGCATCACTGATGCATTTCTTAATGAAACCACTCCGTTGTTTTGTGATTCGACCAATAGACTGTTCACCAAGCATGCCTTTTACCTAAAGACAGACCTTCTTAGTGGTGCAAAAGACGTGTAATCCTAACATCAAATGCAAAACACCTTAACACGGGTTTAAGTCTAAAAAATTATTTCATTATTGCTCTCATTTTGTCTGAAATAAATGTTACCTCAAAATTTATGTCACCACAGCATTTGAGTGGAAGGAAGGGTCCCCGGATCTTCAGTAGCACCTCATTGTTGAGGCCCAGGATGGAGAATTTTGGTAAAAAGCAGGACCACTCCTGTTTCACATAGCCTATGGTTACTCCAGGTGGAGCCTGTACTTCAATCTGAGGGTGGAAAATTCACATCAATCAATAAATAAGAAAAGAAAGTATGTGAAAATGTGTGCAATCAGACAAAGTTATAAGACACTTTAGGAGTGCAGGTGATTCAAGAGCACTGAATAGAAATTTATAGCAGTTTCCAAATGTCTTTATAGCCGTGCCAAATCCGTCTCCACTCTAAGTGATTTAAGTGTACATTTAAATTACTTACACAAAAAGAACAGGGTATGTGGCTGTGTAGGAGTGACAACAAAAAAATCTTGATTCTAAAGTATGGAATATTAAATAGTGAATTGAATAACTCAAATAGTGATAGACACATGCCCAAGAAGCTGTAAACACACAGCTAAAAATAGAGCGCTGTCCATCTCATGCTAAATCAGTTTAACCCCTGTACCACTGTCCCATAAAAAGAATTAGCCCAAATCCCTGCACAGCTGCTTGCAAGCATGTCCTTAAAAACTCAACAACTAAATCATATCATATCCCCATTCATACCAAGATTAGTTTCAAATTACCCCTTCAAATTGCTATCCTCAACCTTTAACTGCATAATTAGGAAAAATGGAAATATACATTTTAAGTGGTTGCAAATATGAAAAAAAAAAAAAAATCTAGTCTTAACAGCCAGCAACATCGTATGGGTCTACAAAGTTTTTTTTTTTTTAAAGACTCAGCCAAAGAGTGAGCCAAAAGGATTCACGAAACAGCTTCGAACTTGCTTGTGAGCAGCTCAATCCCTCACTAAACCTTCAGTCATTTTTTAAAATGAACTGGAAGCTGAAATATATAGGCTTGTGAGCCTTTACATCTCATGCTGTAGTTTATAAACAGCCCTTCATTACAGCACATTGTTGTGACTTGATAAAAGCTAAACCATACAAATCTTTAATAAGCAAATACGTAAATTGTCAACTAAATAATTTCACTGATTTCAATGATATTTCATTCTAGGTCAAAAAATTACTTGTCGGTTTTTTGTCTGAGGCCCAGTATGTTGGAGCTCCTTTCAAAATGTGCATAAAAATGTTTTATTTAGCTGCTACATTAACCTTGATAAAACTGATAAAGTCTGTTCTACCTCTTGCAGGAAGCAGCGCATTGGTCTGTCCATCTGAATGACCTCTTGGCCCATGTTGTCTGTAATTCGCATTTTAAAACCACGTGCTGAACCAAAGATATTACGTATAAAGCAGTTACTCTTTTCTTTGGCATGGTAGATCTCTTGCCCGATGCTGTTCTTGATCTCATACTGGTTGTTAGTCTCAAAGCCAGTAAGCACTGTAGACAAGTATGATCATAGTTTGTCAGATTAAAATATCTCTTCTGTTTAAACAGGGTGAAAGTATGCAATCTTTTAGAAATCATCAAAGTGTTAACATAAATGTTTTCAAACACTGGCAGTGTTCTAACACACTTAATAAAAATGAACAAAAAGGACTAATATAAGAAGACTCACTCTCTATACACGCCATTTTTTGGTGAACAAGTATTTGGTCAATCTGAAATGCACAAAAAAAAACCAGGTAGTAACCAGACATTACACTTCCAGAAAGATATATTGATAGAAAGAGAGAGTTAAGCCCCACCTGAGTGAGGTATTCGAGACCAGGTGGTACTCCATAAAGTTGAACTAGTGGTGGAACTGCAGGTGCTAGAGATGTTTGTGAGGAGGATGGAGATACACCATCATTAGACTTGCATTGTCTTTACAGCATTAATGTTCATTAAGTACATACACACTATTCAACAAAGTGCATAGGAAAATATTAACTTAGTCTATTTTGGTAAGTACAGATTTGACTTCAGTTGAGCAGTTTAACTTGTTTAGAATTAATTTAATTTGATGTTGTTAAAGTTTAACTTCCTTCCAACTTCAAAATAAGTAACATTTCTTATATCTTAATATTAAATAACACTCAGATATACGTTTATTCTAGGTTTACCTGCATATGGCTGAACATGGTGAGGTGCAGGATTACTTGGATCAGACTGATTCAAGACTGGCTGAACTGGAGGTGGTTGACTCACTGACTGAAGTTCTATGGCTGGAGGAGCCGGTGCAGGAACTTCTGACTGAGGCATGAGATTTGGAAGGTTGTTTTGGACGGGATGACCTAGTTTAAGACAATAATCAACATTTTTGTTTTTATTGATTTGTGTCCTTGTTTGTATTGATGTACTCCTTCCTATGTCACTGGATGAACTGACAACAAAGTACATTTGAAAATTGTTAACTTTTATTGTATATGGAAAGAAAATACTTTGTTTTAGTTGAACATTTTAATATCTAAATATGTCATTCACATACACATTTATTCTTTTTCCCTGCATATGACTGAACCTGGTGAGGTGCTGGATTACCTGGACTAGACGGATTCATGACTATCTGAACTGGAGGTGGATAATTGCCCGGCTGGAGCCCTGCAAGCGGAGGAACGTGCCCATGTACTACATAACCTCCCACAGGATAAGTGGAAAGGTGCTGTCCTGGCTGAGGCATTGGATTTGGAGATTGATTCATGACTGTCTGAACTGGAAGTGGTTGATTCTGTGGCTGGACCCCTGCACCTGGAGGAACCTGTCCAGGGCCTGCAGTCTGAGATATGGCATTTGGAGGGTAGTTTTGGACTGGATGGCCTAGTTTAAGACAATAATCAATAAAGCTGTGTTGTTCTACTTTTGTTAGAACTTACTTCAGCATTTGATACAGTTGATCACGATATACTTATTGCTCGTCTCAAGAATCATGTTGGTGTTGAGGGCTTAGCCCTAAAATGGTTCTCTTATTTGAAGTATAGGACCATTTTCAGTCAGTTCAGGTGATTACTCTTCTTCTACTGCTCCTCTTGTCTGTGGGGTTCCTCAGGGCTCTATTCTGGGACCAATTTTATTTACTCTGTATATGTTGCCATTGAGTTTTAATTTTGAAAAATTTGGGATTCATTATCACTTGTATGCGGATGATTCACAGATTTATTTACCATTGAAACAGGACCAAAAATGTGCTTTGCAGTCTCTGCATGAATGTCTGACAGAGGTTAAGTGCTGGATGGCAAATACTTTTCTTAAATTGAATGAAGATAAGACAGAGATTATTTTATTTGGTAATAAGGGTTATGTTAATGATGTCTCGGACTGCCTGGGGCAGTTTCCTGGGAAGAAACTGTCCTGTGTAAAAAACTTTGGTGTCATCTTTGACTCTTAGCTCAAATTTGACCGACAAATTAATGCTGTTATTAAAAATAGCTTTTTTTTTCCATCTAAGGTCAATATCTAAGTTGAAGTCCATCCTATCTTTTGAAGATTGGAGAAGGTTGTTCATGCTTTTGGGAGCTCCTAGGGTCTGGAATGCCCTTCCTCTGTCTATTAGATCTTCTCCAACTTTGGGTGTTTTTCAGAGTGCTCTTAAAACTCATTTGTTTTCTCTAGCTTTTGACAATGCTTTTTAGCTGTCTATGTTATTTGTTGGTATTAATTATTATTATTATTTAGTTTTTCCTTTTTATTTTACTATTATTATTTTTCATTTGTTTTTATATTATTTTTTCTCTTATCTTTCTCTGTACAGCTCTTTGGTTCCAGTCGTGCTGTTGAAAGTGCTTTATAAATAAAGTTTGAGTTGAGTTGAATGAAAGTATGAAAACCATGAACATTTTAGTTTTAATAATCTAGTTAATTTCATTATGACATTCCAATAATATAAAAACAATTTTTTTTATAACATTTGAATATTTAAATATTACTAACTTCTCAAACATACATTTATTCTATGTTTACCTGTATATGACTGAACCTGGTGAGGTGCTTGAGTACTTGGATCAGACTGATTCAAGACTGTCTGAACTGGAAGTAGTTGATTCTGTGGCTGGAGCCCTGTAGCTGGAGGAACCGGTCCAGGTCCTGCTGTGTGAGGTATGGCATTTGGAGGGTAGCTTTGGACTGGATAGCCTAGTTTAAGAAAAAACAATGGAGAGTGAAAGTAAAAGCCTTGAAAGTTTAAACAATCTAGTTAGTACAGTAACATAACATTTCTTCTTTATGTGGCACTATTTGTATTGATGTGATGTGTATTGTATTTGAAAATATTAACATTTATTGTCTATTTTGAAAAATAGAGCCTTTTAGTTAAACATTTGAACATCTAAATGTTATGTAACACTCAGATATATACATTTATTCTACGCTTACCTTTATAAGGCAGAATCAGTTGTGGCACTGCATTAATTGGAGCAGACATATTAATGACTGGCTGAACTGGAGGTGACTGATTCTCTGGCTGAAGCCCAGCAGGTGGAGAAGCTGGATCAGGACCTAAATGAAAGGTGAAAAACTTTCTAGTTAGTATAGTAAATTAAAGAAAAATCTGTTTGAGCCACTATTTGAATTTATATATGTATGTAAGTGGATTTAGTACAGCCTGTCATGTTGCTGAGTTTAATTTCCTTCCATCTTCTGAAAATGTACATTTATTGTATGTTTACCTCCATGTGGCTGAACCTCGTAATGTGCAGGATTACTTGGATCAGACTTATTCATGACTGGCTGAACTGGAGGCGGTTGATTCACTGACTTAAGTTCTGTGGCTGGAGAAGCTGGTGCAGGACCTTCTGGTTGAGGTATGAGATTTGGATGTTGGTTTTCAGTTGGTTTTGGTGGACAGTCTGGTTTAAGACAATTTTCAATAAAACTGAGTCACTCTGGTATGGATTTTCTTGCAGTCTGAATCACTGAATGACCAGACATCTCTGGCTTTCAGATCATAGACATCCAGCTTTACAATCTGCAGGATTGTGCAAGAAATGCCAAAGTGAGCCTTAAGATTTTCATTGAATAACCACTTTAATTTTGTCTGTTCATTCAACAAAACTGCCATACAGCATACTTTTAGGATCAATGCCTTTTCTGATTGATGTGGAGATTGTTGGTTAAAAGGTGATACTTATTCAGTGACGCATACAGCAAAGAAAACAAGAAAAAAGAGAGCATAAGACAGACAGTCGACAGACAAAAAAAACATACTCATAACTTGTTGCAAACATTCTATACTGTAGAATGTGGTCAAACATGTTATTGCGCATTCCATTCCTTCATCTTCTTGATTTAAATTTTTAAATTGAAAAAAAAAATTATCTTGGCCATTGAAACAAGACAAATCGCTATATAAGATAAATCACCTAGCAACAGCATGTGTATCACCTGCTACAGAGAAAAAACTAGCACGGTAAAACTGTGATTGCTAACTGAATAAATGGAGGTAATTTAAATTACTAGAATTATTTGAAACAAATAAAACTTCAGTACCTGGTACTGAGATGTTGAAGACCTTTTGTTAGAGAAGCAGCACAGCCACTATGGTGATGGAGGAAAAGTAAATGAAGTTTATTTAAGTTGTACACAAAAATGTTTTTCCAACAACTACAAAGACCAAAGGTAAATTATCACTTACCTATCAAAACTCTGAACAAAGTCTTACCTCTTGGGATGGTCCACAAAAGGGATGTTCTGTAGAGAACTTCCTTGGTGTTGCAATGATTGTCTGGATACAGGGATCAATAAGATTTTGGGATTTTCTTCTGTTTAACATACGGAGATATATGTGCTTGTGGTGTTATCCCATACATGTATTTATGGTTTCTGTTTTCATAGTATCTCCTCCTCTTTTCTTACATATTTAAATTAACAACCTGAGAAAGGTGTACCACTTTTTTTTTGTAAAGATCATATTACACTAATACCTCACTATCTAGCAGAAAAAATGTGACCCAGGAGACTTTAACATACCTACAAAGCATCACAATTTTAATGTCTGTCAAGTCTGTCTGCATGTCTTATTTTGATGTAATTTATTATGTGATGTTATATAAAGTGTTGCTGTAAAATCTTGATCTGATCTAAATTGATTTTGGTCATATTGGATACCCCAAAAATGACTGAATGATTTATCTAATGTTTTTGTGATAATCCTGTGAAATATCACAGCGTTTGTAGATAAACAGAAACAAGTGCATGTTGTTGACATCACTGTTAGCTATTGTTAAATTTCCAAGCATGATTTAATGTGAATTGTGTTCAAATTAACCTGAAAAAAAACCTGGGTTGTTGAAATGTCTATTGTAAATACTAATCTGCATGTGTGTGTATTAAGGCAAGCCATTTGAGTGTACATTTTAAGTTAATGCACCTTTCCTTATTTTGCTTAAAAAGAGTGACAGACATTATTGATCTTATTGTTCTTTAGGCACTGTAAAATTGCAAATGATGGTTATTTTAGCTTAAGTCTACATCTGAAGTTCTTCATTTGGCTACATATTAGGGGTTTTGCAACAATAGATACAGTAAAATAATCACACAAACCACCAACATAATATTGTACATTTATTATGTATAATGTTATACTAATATTGCATAAACAAACACATACACAAGAAGACACATATGCAAGTATATATATTGATTATGCATGCACTGTAAAAAATTACCGTGAATTTAACGGTAAAAGACTACAGTAAAATGCTAAAAATGTAACAGTAAAAACCTGTTAAATGGTTAACGGTAAATTCCCCTACTATATACAGTGAAAAACTGTATTGGACATTACATGTAAATTTACATTTCAAATTTAATGTTTTTTTTTATTGAAATAACTATGTTTCTTCTTAGCTTTTTCTTATCAGTTTTGTATATAAGGGTTGTGTGTTACACCTAATGTTGTTAAATTAATGTTTATTGCATTATTTCAGTTTCATGTGTGTTACCATGATGGTGTTTAGTGTCTGTGTGAACGACACTGTGCATCTTCTATATGTGTTATTATTTAAAAGCTGCTTGTGATGGACTTTGGTTCATCATGTGACTTTCTCATCACCACCTGCATTTGGTGGTTATCAGTGTATTACAAAGGTACAAAACAGATTTCAGTACTTCAATAGGTTGGTATATTAACATTATATTGGTTAATGACATTACGGTATTTAACTGTAAATTTTAAGTTAAAACCGTAAAACCTAAAATGTTGCTACCGTATTTTTTACTGTAAAATTCCGGCAACCACAGCTGCCGGTTTTTTACCATAAATTTTACGGATTTTATTTTACAGTGTGGGTAGATCCGAGAACACGGTCAGTTTAGTAATTAGCAACTGGGATATTGAATTTGACTAACAAAATGAACGTGTACACAATTTAAATTGATCTCTATTTTTTTCTATTATTGTTAGAATTCACCCTGTTAGTGATAGAGAACAACTTTAATTTGCGGTGTATAAATGCGGGAAATTTATATAAAAATTTAAAATACATAGTGACCAAAACATACATAAAACAAAAAAGTTTGAACACTCCTCGGTCTGTATATTTTTTATAATGTTATATATATTCTCTTATTGAGACTAGGCCAGTCTCTACATAACCAACCAACCAGAAAAAAATTGTCATGTGGTATGTTACAACAGACTTATTTTTTTTTTTTTTTTACGAGGACAGGGATATTAAAGTCTATCCATAGGACTTTTTGAAAATGTTTCCTGAATTTCCATGATACTCATGGATCTAATTGGCAAATATTAAATAATTAACACCATCCTAAGAATTAAAAGAGTGCGTAAATTAGAGGCTGGCTTTTATAAGCTGACAAGCGCCCCCTGTAGGACACTTTCTTCACACACGGATCAAAAAAAAGAAAAAAAAAAGAAGATATATACACAACAAATTGGCATTAAACCCATATTATGTCACTGGTCTATACACACAGAAAACCATGCAACTACTTGCTTGTTTTTTCCTTTTTTTCACCTGTTGTCAGTCAGTAACTTGCATGCAACCCCCACCATCGTGCATTACTTGGCTGCACGAACATCCGTATGTTTTAACTCGGTGGTTCTCAATTCCAGTCCTTGCGTACCACCGCTCTGCATATTTTGCATGTCTCTTATTTAACACTCCTGATTAAGACCAGCTCGTAAACAAAAAAAAAAAAAGAGAGCTCCATACATGAACTGTGGTCCGATTGACATGGTCCCTACAGTGTTCATTGGTCCGTACTCCCCGAGCACGGGAAATCCGTTGAAGTTTACTTCACTTCGGAACATTCATTCACGGATTTGCACTACACCACGGCCTGCAGCGTCTTCACACAGAGACGAAACTTACTAGAGAAGTGTGAAGTGTGACATAATATACCTCTGTAAATAAATACAATTTAAATTTACGTCTTGCACACTTTAATGCCCTTTGAATGGAACATACGCTCCCTTCGAACTAGAACCATGGCGGAATATCCGGTGATGTCCACTTCGCAGGGCACTCACGGTCGAATACAACAAACGTCTGAAGTGATAAGAGATATATACAAAATGTGCAGAGCGGTGATACTCGAGGACTGGAATTAAGAACCACTGTTTTAACTAAAATGCTTTGCGTTGAGCACAATAAAACTGAATTTCCTTCTAAAAGACATATACTAAAATTAATATATTAAAAGAAATACACGTTATGCATGAGATAAGTCTAGAAAAACATGTATAACGTTGCATGTTACAGTTTATTTCTAATAAAAAAAGAAAAGTTTAAAGTAACAAAAACATAAATGTTAGTTGCTTGTACTATTGTAACAAGTAATTTGTAATTATTGTAGGCTGTGATTGTTTAAAAGGCACCAGTGAACAGTTACTCATGATACCTCTGTCATTGTAAATATTGCTGGTCACATGAACACTATAAAATGACCTTGAACATGTCCCTTGGTTTCACTGCATTGCCAGCTGTATATGGCTTTGGTTACCTAAAAAAATGCAGGAAATAAAGAAAGTCCAGACTCAGACGGTGTTCACAGAATGTGAGAATTTCATCAGTTTAAAAAAAAAAAGACTTGAAAGATGATGCGAGTTACTTGAAAATGTCAGTTAACAAGTAACTTAGCAGGAGCTCTAAGAGAATACAGTATTGCGCTGGTTTGTGTCTCCAACTTTTTCAAAGAACATGAAATCCTATGAAAAGAAAAAGAGAACAAAGAACAAAGAGTCAGAACAGAATCTTGTGGGGAAGAATATGTTCTAGTGCATGCGATTTCTGTTGTATTACAATATTTAATAACATTTTAATTCGATAGTTCACTTTAGACATTCTACTAACTATAAGTAACTTTGCAACTACATTTCAACTACCAGTTATTAGAGTATTAGCAGACTGTCTGCTTAACGTCTGGTTTATTTGAAGTGCTATAACACTTTATTTTTATGATCCTCCAACAGACTTTCTACCGACTACACATTTATATCCAAGAGAGAATTTATGTATTTATAGGTTGTGGTTGCATAATGGTTAGAAGGCTATTGTGGATCATTAAACGTGTCATTAGCTTAATACTCACAATAAGGAAGCAAGCGCCCATAAGTACAGCCTTCATCTTCACATCCATGTCCACTGGAAACTGGATGCCAAAGTTGTCAGTGTCAGTAAAGACTTCCTTTAACAGGCCGCTCCACTGCTTACTAATTTGACCGATAGGCTTCCCAGTACCGTCTTTGCCTTTGAGCTAAAGAAAGAAATACAAATTTATGGTTAGAAACCTACCAATTTCAAAATTATTTTGCTTGGTGTCAGTATAATGTTTACCTTTGAATTTGTATATTAACAAGGCAACAACATGTCAACAATCACTTTCAATCCAATTCTAAAAAGTCACCTCGAAGTTCACATCACCACAGCAGTTACATGCCAAGCAGGGCCCCTCAAGCTTCATCACAGTCTCCTTGTTTGGCCCCTGGATGGAGAATTTCGGATAACAGGGGTGCCAGTCCTGCTTCACATACCCTACAGTCGTTCCCGGGGGGGCCTGTACCTCCATCTGAAGATGAAATATAGACATTTATTGTCATAGTGAATTAGAAATACACAGCAATGCCCAAATGTATTTTTAAGCTAGCAGCTATGTGTGCATACATAGACAACTGTTCAAAAGGAATAAATTACTGTTCAGTGGAATAAATTAAAATATAATTTATTCCTGTGATGTAAGCTGAATTTCTAGCAGCGATTACTTCAGTTTTCGGTGTCACACGATCCTTCAGAAATCATGCTAATATGCTGATTTGGTGCTCAAGAAACTTTTCTTATTATTAAATGTTGTGTAAACAGTTGTGCTGCTTAATGTTTTTTGGAAACCATGATACATTTTTTCAGGATTCTTTTATGAATAGAAAGTTCAAAAGAACAGCATTTATTTAAAATAGAAGTAATTTGTTACATTATAAACGTTTTTATGGTTTCTTTTGATCTATTTAATGCATCATAATGCAAAGACAGAGTGGCATAGAGTCCTATGTCCATACTGACTCTATGCCATTTATAACTCTTCACACACACGTTCATGTCAGTAGTAGGTCACACAACATGTTCTTTAGATCACTGGTTCTCAATTCCAGTCCTGGGGTGGGGACCCCCTGCTCTGCACATTTTGCATTTCACCCTTATTTAACACACCTGATTCTGAATCAGTGATTCAGATCATCAGCTCATTAGGAGAGAGATCCATGAACTGAACTGAGTGCATTAGATAAGAGAGACATACAAAATGTGCAGAGTAAGTGGGTCACCAGGACTGGAATTGAGAACCACAGCTTTAGAAGAGTCACTAACTGAAAACCAACAAGATTTCACGTAACTAACATAATTAAATGCAAAGCTTTGATATGACTTGTCCATTATACCTCTTGCAGGCAGCAGGGGCACCAACAGGAGACACAGCGGAAAGGTCGGATCAGTCGTATGACCTCTCGATCGGCGTTGTCTTTGATCTTCATGTCAAAGCTGCGCAGGGCTCCACAGCAGTTGCGTGTGCAGCAGTCATTTTTTTCTTTGGCAGAATAAATCTTTTGACCGAGGCTATTCTTGATCTCATACTGGTTGTTGGTCTCAAAGCCAATGATTGCTGTATAGGACCAAAAAGTATGCAGAGAAATTAAACTAGGAGTCTTTGAGTGCTTGTTTGTTTTTAATGCCATGCCAGCTTCTGTGGCTATTTTCATGGCAAGAAAAAATTATGGCTAAATTATATCAGGTTTTTACTATTTATTTTCGCTAAAAACTGTATTTGGCTTACAAATTTATGGTTAGAAACCTACCAATTTCAAAATTATTTTGCTTGGTGTCAGTATAATGTTTACCTTTGAATTTGTATATTAACAAGGCAACAACATGTCAACAATCACTTTCAATCCAATTCTAAAAAGTCACCTCGAAGTTCACATCACCACAGCAGTTACATGCCAAGCAGGGCCCCTCAAGCTTCATCACAGTCTCCTTGTTTGGCCCCTGGATGGAGAATTTCGGATAACAGGGGTGCCAGTCCTGCTTCACATACCCTACAGTCGTTCCCGGGGGGGCCTGTACCTCCATCTGAAGATGAAATATAGACATTTATTGTCATAGTGAATTAGAAATACACAGCAATGCCCAAATGTATTTTTAAGCTAGCAGCTATGTGTGCATACATAGACAACTGTTCAAAAGGAATAAATTACTGTTCAGTGGAATAAATTAAAATATAATTTATTCCTGTGATGTAAGCTGAATTTCTAGCAGCGATTACTTCAGTTTTCGGTGTCACACGATCCTTCAGAAATCATGCTAATATGCTGATTTGGTGCTCAAGAAACTTTTCTTATTATTAAATGTTGTGTAAACAGTTGTGCTGCTTAATGTTTTTTGGAAACCATGATACATTTTTTCAGGATTCTTTTATGAATAGAAAGTTCAAAAGAACAGCATTTATTTAAAATAGAAGTAATTTGTTACATTATAAACGTTTTTATGGTTTCTTTTGATCTATTTAATGCATCATAATGCAAAGACAGAGTGGCATAGAGTCCTATGTCCATACTGACTCTATGCCATTTATAACTCTTCACACACACGTTCATGTCAGTAGTAGGTCACACAACATGTTCTTTAGATCACTGGTTCTCAATTCCAGTCCTGGGGTGGGGACCCCCTGCTCTGCACATTTTGCATTTCACCCTTATTTAACACACCTGATTCTGAATCAGTGATTCAGATCATCAGCTCATTAGGAGAGAGATCCATGAACTGAACTGAGTGCATTAGATAAGAGAGACATACAAAATGTGCAGAGTAAGTGGGTCACCAGGACTGGAATTGAGAACCACAGCTTTAGAAGAGTCACTAACTGAAAACCAACAAGATTTCACGTAACTAACATAATTAAATGCAAAGCTTTGATATGACTTGTCCATTATACCTCTTGCAGGCAGCAGGGGCACCAACAGGAGACACAGCGGAAAGGTCGGATCAGTCGTATGACCTCTCGATCGGCGTTGTCTTTGATCTTCATGTCAAAGCTGCGCAGGGCTCCACAGCAGTTGCGTGTGCAGCAGTCATTTTTTTCTTTGGCAGAATAAATCTTTTGACCGAGGCTATTCTTGATCTCATACTGGTTGTTGGTCTCAAAGCCAATGATTGCTGTATAGGACCAAAAAGTATGCAGAGAAATTAAACTAGGAGTCTTTGAGTGCTTGTTTGTTTTTAATGCCATGCCAGCTTCTGTGGCTATTTTCATGGCAAGAAAAAATTATGGCTAAATTATATCAGGTTTTTACTATTTATTTTCGCTAAAAACTGTATTTGGCTTAACTCTGTTAAAAATCTCTTCAAAAGAGTTAACTGAATAAAAAAGTTCTCTCACAGTGTTAAAACCAGCACAATCTAATAAAACATGCTTCAGGGATAAAGGCTTTTGGCAGAGAGAACATGTTAAAGGATCGTCTAGCATTAAAAACTTGTGCCATCCTGGAATGACCTATTCTGCAGTGGGTAAAAACAATTTGGTCCCATCGGTTGGAAAATTGATAGAAATGTCTTTTTCCAACATTGGGGCTAATTTCTTGGAGTTTATTAAAGTCTTTGAGTGTCTGAATTAAAGTAAAAGTAGCAAAAAAGTAATAGTGAATAAAATTGTCTCAGGCTTAAAATAAAGATAACACACAAAACGTAACAGACAAGCTTTGCTTTAATGCACTCAAATGATATAGTAAACAGCTTCAACCGCATACACATAATACAGAAGAAGACTCACCCTCTAACAACTCCACTTTCTGATGAATAAGGATCTGATCAATCTGAAATGAAAAGAGTACACAAGTAACAAGACTTATAGGCACAATAATAAGTAAAGTAAATGTCAGAGAGAACTAGGGCGTTCAACTCTTCCTGGGAAGATCATATTAACAACTTGGGAAGGCATAATTACGA